TTCTAATAGACTTATGTGATAATTCTCGTAACATTTTTTCTAATAGACTTATGTGATAATTATCGTAACATTTTTTCTAATAGACTTATGTGATAATTTAAAATGTTACGATTAATTATCACATAAGTCTATTAGAATTATCACATAAGTCTATTAGAAAAAATGTTACGAATCGTAACATTAAAAGAAATTCAATAATAGACTAATTTAAAAATAAAATATTTTTCTGGACGAGTGACTGGCAAGGGTCGCCAATTGTTTTAGGTGGGGGGCAAGAGAAGCAACTGTACCCCTAAGAAGGTTAGAAGCATCTTGCAGTAAAAGTATCAATTTCACGTCTTACTGTGCATATGTGTGTATCCAGTTGTTTTTTTCTGACTTGTATTCTAGCTTGGCTGAGTGATTATCAGTTAGGTAGGCGTAGATGAGTTCTTTTTTCTCGTGCATGCGCAGTTCATGTCCTCTTATTTCAGAGTTATTCCAATTCATCGTGTATAGTCTTCTTCTGTGGTGTGATAGGCTATTGTAGATAGATCGGTATTACTGAGTCTCATATGTCTGTTATGCTCCTGAATTCCTAACTTTTATTGGTCATTTTATTTCTCCAATATATTCGAATCCATATACACATGGGATGTTGTAAATGTTTTTTGTTTCTTCCTCTCCATCAGTTCTCTCGGTCGTCTGGCGTGTACTAATTGCGATCGTATTGTGTTATGGCTTATGAATACTGTCCTGACTTTCTGCTGTTTACATATCCTCTGTATGTCTTCAGAGAAACCTCTGACACGAGGGAATATGGCTTTATATCTGTAATTTTCTTCCTGTTTATTCTTCATGTTTATCTTCGTTATAAAGTGTTCCCGGTATCTGTTGTTAAGGAGGATTGTAGTGGTGTATCTCTCCTCCATCTTCTTAGTTTCTTCGATATTAAAAATCTTCCTTAATCCTGTAGCTAGGCAATATATGGCGCCATCTGTTGGGGTGGTTTGATTTATAGTCTAGGTATTTACCTGTATCTGTGGGTTTCCTGTAAATTCTCATGGTATATAATTTATGTGTCTTCGTAACCATCACGTCTAGAAAGAGGACTTTATCTTCTTCATTTCTGTTGTGAATAGCATTACTAGATGTTTCTGGTCAGGGGCGGTTTATGAATTTTTCAATTGTATGTGTAATCTGTGGTCCATGTTATAAAGGCATCGTTAACGTATCTAATATTCAATAGTTCGCCCCCCAGTGACACAGCGGTAAGTCTACGGACTTATAACGATACCCGCGGTGGGCAGAACACTGTGTAGCTTTGTGCTTAACTACAAACAAACAAATTTAATATTTCAGTACAATGTATTTATATAACTAAATCACGAGAAAGATATTGTCTGGAAGTGAGCATATTTAACTCTTCATAATTATCTAACTGTACGTGAGAGGAAAAGTGTCCTAGCTTTCAAGTGGACTTATCTTTCCAGACAGTCTTGTAATAACACGACAATGTGTTCTTTTTATTTTTTCTGATAGCCTTGAAACTGAGCAAGTCCGAGTTTTTAAATTTAAAGTCCAAGTATGTTGAAAGTTCCCATGTCAGGTAAGTTTATGATAAGTCATCATGATCATGTAGAATTATAAATGATCTGTTACACAGAGCAAGCAAAGTTGGTCCGAGGAAACCAGTGTTGAATATTTGTGGTGTGGAATGACGTAGTTAAAGAAATATATTTATATGTTATCAAAGACGTTTTTTTTTTAACAAAAACTCATTCAGTTGAAAGACCAGCGTCAATAAGTGACTGGCTGTCTACATGAACAGATCTGTTGTGAACTCAACTAAAACCTGAGAGTTCGTGTGTAGTATATAGTATTCGGTCATTTCACTGTAAGTAATAAACTTTTGAAGGCCTTTCATCTGTGAATAACTTCGTGACTTCTGAAGATTAGAAGCTGTTGTTGAAATATTCCAGACATAATCGGACACCTGGTGAACTTTTGTAATAAAATTGTAAAAAAAAAATGATGGAAAACCACCTCGATTGTCTTGTAGTAGTGTAGCAGTACAACAATTTACTAGAAACTAATAAATTAATTAAATATAATTTTATATCCAAATGATTAATAAGCATTTTTCCGTTTCAACCACAGGAAATTGGTG